ACCTTGATACTTGGAAGTCACATGACCACTCAGTGACTTGGATTTTTCAAGTCTTCAAACGAGAAGTTTTACACACTCGGGAAATTAAGGGAGCACTACCTCAACCTACATGCTTCACTCACAAAGCTTCAACATACAAGCTTCAACAAAAGGAAAAATTCAAAGAACTTAGTGAAGAAGGCCTTGGTGTATTTAACACAATACGTTGAAATGAAGCAAAGCTTGCTTATTGATATCTTCGATAAGTTACAAATATGTACATGTACATGAATCAAAATAAACAAACAAGATGGAGCCTTCACAAAGGTTGCTCAGGAGAAGTCTCAGCAGTCAGCAGAGCCCTAGAAAGAGGAGACACCAGAGGGTGATTATTCGAAGCCTCAGTACTAGGCAGAACCCCAGAAGGAGGAGGCACCGAAGGTTGATCATTTGGAGCTTCATTATGCGGAACAGCCCCAGAAGACGAAGGTAATAAATGCCTTGGGAACAAACCCACAAACCTCTGATGATCAAGTAAAATCGGACCATCAGATTCCTGTAGCTGGTCGAGCTTCATCTTCATATTTGTAGCATAGCCATGTGCGAGCCTGTGCAACTGTTTATTCTCATGCTTGAGCCCTCTGATCTCCTATTTGAGACTTATCACTTCAGCCGCCAATGATTCAACTTAGCAGGTACGAGCAAATAGGCGTTGGGCCATATTAGACACAGAACCTACACACTGAACACTGAGAGCCAGAGAATCCTTAACAGCCAACTCATCAGACCGTTTGGAAAGTGGTCTGTTATCTTTGGGAGTAAGAAGGTTCCTGGCCACCACCGCAGCGGTCATATCATTCTTCATCACAGAGTCCCCAACGGTAAGAGGACCAGTAGGGGATAAGAAGGATGGGCGCCATATGTTGTCTTGAGAAGGCATGGCTTCCTCTTCACCAAAGTTCAAGTCAAAACGACGGTCGGATGGGCCAGACATTCTCATAAATGATGAAGGAGAAATGAGGTGCAATAAATCTTTAAGGGGGAAAATTCCTACAAGCAATAACTCTCTGAATGTACTCTTTGCACACAATTGGTACCCTTATAAAAGAAAGGGCAACAGGGCCGTTGGTTCAAAAATCGAAGAGGCACCACTCTCCGGATTTCGAAGAGACACCACTTTCCACACACAACATCACCTCATCGGGAACCACAGATAAATTTGCCAAAGATCTCTGACAAAGTTTAGACACATAAATTTTGAAGGTCCAATTACCCTACTATTACCCATAAGGGTAAAGGAACAGCACCACTGCTTGATAACTAGAAAGTCTCAATGTGTGTCAACCTCCGTGCTCCGTGGCAAGGCAGACTGGCAAAAATGCCCAACCTTTACTTACATTCGAGAAAACACTCCTAACAAGATTGCTTGCTCAAAAATTGAAAAGGCACCGCCCTCCGAATCACGAGAGCCAGATCCCCAACAGGATTACTTTCTCAAAAATCGAAGAGACACTGCTCTCCGAATCTCAAGAGTCAGACTCCCAACAAGATTGCTTTCTCAAAAATCGAAGAGGCACCGCTTTCCAAACTTCGAGAGCCAGATTTCCTTGGATAAAGCTTGTCTGCAATCTTCACACGCAACATCAGCTTTCCAGATACCACAGACCACTTTTTCAAAGCGCTCTGACAAAGTTAAAACATGTGAAGCTTGCAGCTCTCACTACATTACTATGACCAAGAAGGGTAAAGGAATAGCATTATTACATGCTAAAAAATCGAAGAGGCACCGCCCTCCGAATCTCGAGAGCCAGACTCCCAACAAGATTACTTTCTCAAAAATCGAAGAGGCACCGCTTTTTGAATCTCAAGAGCCAGACTTCCAACATGATTGCTTTCTCAAAAATCGAAGAGGCACCGCCCACCGAATCTAGAGAGCCAGATCCCCGACAAGATTGCTTGTTCGAAAACCGAAGAGGCATCGCTCTCCGAACTTCGAGAGCCAGATTTCCTTGGATAAAGCTTGTCTGCAATCTTCACACGCAACATCATCTTTCCAGATACCACACTTTTTCAAAGTGCTCTAATAAAGTTAAAACACGTGAAGCTTGCAGCTCCCACTACATTTCTACGACCAAGAAGGGTAAAGGAATAGCATTACTATTTGTTGTTAGGGAGACTCCTATATATGTCGACCTCCATCCTCCACGGACAGGCAAACTTGCAAAAATGCTCAACCCTTCCTCATATCTGAGAGGGCACTCCCAATGAAGCCTCTCAAAATACTCAGCTTTCTTCCCTCCTAATAATACCTATGCAAACCAGCCACACAAGAGCAAGAGTATCTCATATCATCAGGGTCAAAAGTAAAAGTATCCCATATCATGCTTTCTCCCTGTCTTTTCCTTTGCCCTTATTCTTACCTGCAAGACAAGGAGAAAAAGAGCAATCAGTCAGCACTTGGAATCAAGCTTCCAGTCAGGAACTGACTGCCTGGAACCCCTTGCCTAATTACTTACCTGGCATTGCTCTCGAGTACTCATCTTCAACATCTTATGCTTCCAGAAAAGATACCACATATGTCTGAGGAACAGATAGGGCGAGTGAGAAGGATACAAGGAAGCATGTGGAGACAAGCACAACAGAACACATGCCGATTCATTTATTACTTCGTCAACAACAAAAGTATCCCATATCATCAAGGTTGAACGCACTCTTGATTTGATGGACTTGTTTTGACCCTCAAATTCTTGAGTCGGCCTTATACTCTGGAGGAAACCAGAAAACCCTCCAGCCCAATTCAAGAATAAGCCTGTGGAAAGTTACTTCTTCAAAAGCAAAAGTATCTCATATCATCTCTTCTCCATTTGCTTCTCCTTATCCTTGTTGCTGTTTACGACACAATGAGAAAGAGAACAATCAACCGGAAGCCGAAGTCAAACCTCCGATCCAGGTTGCTTGCTTGGAAGTCTGATTGCTTACCTTGTCTGTTACCTCTTTCGGCAAATCTCCTAGCTCGGCGACTTGGGGGACTCCTACTATAGGGTTTTGTATCGCACTTGACCAAGCCCGAAACTACAAGTAAGCTTCAAGTAAAATTGATACATTACCTTGTGCATCTTCATCGATTAAAGATACCACCCATGGATGGAGGAAAAGTACTTCCAGAGAAGATACCACATCTACCGTATGAGACAGATAAGGTAAGTAAAAATGATACCACACTTCAGTACTTAGAAGTTTCGTGATTACTCAATGGCTTGGATCTTGCAAGTCCCCAACCGATGAGCTTCCCTCACTCGGGAACTTAGGGGACCACTGTTTGTACCATACTTGACCAATCCCGAAACTACTGATCAAACCGTCAAACTTATTTGTACACACTCCAAGATTACATACGTAAAAAATTGTAAAAAACAAACATTCAGATATTACGTAACGGAACAAAAGTTTTCGATGGTTATAAACGAAAAATCACAATTTAACAATTATTTTAGCTCTGATTTTGATGATTTTTTACAGCTACACTCCTCTACCCTATAAGAATGTAATGAATAAATTTGATCTTTAATTTAAAATATTTACACTAGTGGATACCACAAAATCTTATTTTATACTTAATAGAAGTATAATATTAACTCTTAAGTGTTTGTTTAATCTACTGTTTTGACGCAATATGCATTCTACGAAACTTTTTTCAACGATCCAATCGTCAAACTTATTTATACACACTCCGAGATTACATACGTAAAAAACAAGCATTCAAAGATTACGTAACGGAACAAAAAATTTCGACGGTTAAAAATGAAAAACCACAATTTAATGGTTATTTTAGCTCCGATTGTGATGATTTTTTACAGCTACACTCCTCGACCCTATAAGAATGTAATGAATAAATTTGATCTTTAATTTAAAATATTTAAACTAGTGGATACCACAAAATCTTATTTTATACTTGATGGGGAAGTATAACATTAACTCGTGTTTGTTTAATCTATTGTTTTGATGTGATACGCATGCTACAAAACGTTTTTCAACGATCCAACCGTCAAACTTGTTTGTACACACTCCGAGATCGCATATGTACAAAATCGCAAAAAACAAACATTCAGATATTAGGTAACGGAACAAAAGTTTTCCATGGTTATAAACGAAAAATCACAATTTAACGATTATTTTAGCTCTGATTTTGATCATTTTTTATAGCTACACTCTTCGACCCTATAAGAATGCAATGAATGAATTTCATCTTCAATTTAAAAATTTTATACTTCATGGAAGTATAACATTAACTCTTAAATGTTTGTTAAATCTATCAATTTGACAGGTTATGCATTCTTTCAACGATCCAACTGTTAAATATATTTGTATATACTCCGAGATAGCATGTGTAAAAAATCGCAAAAAAATAACATTCAGAGAACCGTCCAAAATTTTGCTTTGTTCATGTCGGTTATATTCGATAGGGCCATGAGTGAAAAAAAAATATTTAAAACATGTGTTTATTTATTTATTTTTAATCAACATAACATTTTAAAATAATATAATCAGACATGGTAGAGTACACTAGATGTTCATGTATGTTTATGTGCCAGACAATGTGCTTTATGACGGATTGAAAAAAATTGTTTGAATTTCTTCGTATCTTGCTTGCCTATGAGAGGAGCATAATCCTTATTACAAAAATGGTAGAGCTTCAGATTGTAGTATGTTGTTATTATTCTCTCAGAAAGTTTATGGCTTGTGGGAATTGGGTTCATTAGACTATAGAGTCATGAGTGAAAAAAAATATTATTTTAAAAATGTGTTTATTTATTTATTTATAATCAATATAATATTTTAAAATAATAAAATTTTTATTTCTGTCGGTTATAACCGCCATAATACTAAAATAATAACCGCCAGAAAGTAAAATAATAAAATAGTCAAATTTTGTCGGTTATAACCGCTACCATTAACTTAAAAACCATCAGAGTCTGTCAAAAATATTAAAAAAAAAAAGGATTAAAAAATAGTGTCAGATATAATCGACAAGATATTTTTGATATCCGCCAATAAATATCCGCTAGGAATTTATGTCGGATATAACCGACAGGATTTTTCTAATATCCGCCACTAATTAAATGATGTGTCGAATATAATTTATCCGATATGATGTTTCTAATATCCGCCACCTAAAGCTAATATTGACATAATTTGTCTGTGCAGCTTCACTACCAAATAATTTTCTCCATTGTTGGTCCGCATCAATTCCCTACCTCGGACAATCCTTGAGAATGTTCCAAGCATGATGCAACTTAAAAGCTTGATTTTTTTGGTGTAGTTCTTATCTTGTAAATTGTCATTGCTTTGTCACCCTATGCAAGAAATACATAAAAACAATTAGTTGCAAAATAATATTATGTACATGATAAATAAAATTTCAACAAAGAAACTCACAACTTCTGTGGCACTCCTTCCACTAGCCATGTCAACCACGGCTCTCTTCAAGCTTCTCTTCCATAAAGTGCACGCTTTGTTGATAACCTTCCACTGATCGTAAACGCCACCACCTTCCATTCGGCCAGCGTTGGAGTTTTCATTGAACTTATCAATGATTTACCCCACAAAACCTTTTTATTTTGATTTGTGCTAACGGCACTATCTTCGCTAATAGAAACTGATGCCAAGCATAAAGCAACATCTTCCTTAAAGGTCCAATTACGACCTCTAATATGATCTTTTGCCACCTTGAAAATTTTGAAAATGCAAAGAAATGGTAGAAAGAAAATTGGAAGAATTGTAGGAGAAAAGTGAGTTTTGTGTGAATGTTTGAATAAATACATAGGTATTTATAGAGTTTTTAGATGAATTTTGAGTTAAATAATTTTTTTTAGGCTTTTAGCTAAAATAGTCCTTGAGATTTGCATAACACATCACTTTGGTCCCTGAGATTGAAAATCAGTAGAAATGGTCCCTGAGTTTATCCACCATCCATTATTATGTTCATTCCGTTAAAACCTCCGTTAAGTGTCCCAGAGCTCTTGGCCGGAAGTTTGGGCAATTTTCAAAGCTTCGTAACTCAATCATTTCTGAACCAAATTCAACCCATAATATATCAAAATAAAGATAGGAAAGTGTAGAACAAGATATACCTGTTGGAAGCCCAATGGTTGCCGGAAAATAGCTTGAAAGGTAACTGGTCAGTGGCAAAACTGAAAAACTCGTCGGAAACTGGGTAAAAAAAGTAGTTGTTGGATTCAATAAATATATAAATATAAAACTGAAAAAAAAAATTGATCCAAAGGCCCAATTGATTCAAGCTGTTCGATAAAAAAAGTAGTTGTTACTTGCTGACGCAAGTGGCTGACATGCCCATGTGGGTTGGGCCATGCCGTTGCCTGCCCTTGGCGCGTTGCTCCCATGTGAGCGTCCGACCTTTGCGTCTGGCATTCAAGCGCCCATTTCCACTCTCACTGGTGGACCCCACACATTTCTTTGGGCTATTTCTTGGCCGGAATCTGGTATTTTTTTCCGGTTTTAGCTTCTAACTTCAAATTAGAACTAGGGTTGGAAAGGATTGGGAGGGGGAATATAAGGAAATTATAGGTTTTACTCTAAGGGGTGGAGTTGGTCTTATGGTGGAAAAAACCAAAAAGACAACTTGTATTTTTTTTTGTTAAAGTCAAACTATACTCGGAAAATAAACAAAAAGAATACAACCAAAATGAAAAAAGATTTGGTGCAAATGGTCCCTCATCATATTTCCACCTCTTCGTTTCAACCTTTTGTTTTCTTTGGAAATAGAGAGACAACAATATGGGACTAACTATGGTACACACATTTATCTAATATATATATATACACACACACACACACACTAAGGAGAGGGGGTGAACTTAGCCTCACAATGAGCTAGCAATAATATGGTTCAAATTCGCCTTTGGCGAGAATCGAACCTAAGATCTCTCATTTACAAGTGAAGAGAAATATCACTAAACCGTAATACTAAGTGACATTTATTTAATATATTTAACATCTAACAATTAAGTATGCAACCAAAAAACAAAGAATATATCCTATTTAAGTACATATAACTATTAAATAATTTGTGTATTAAGTAAATGCATAAACACTAGTACTAACCAAACACATGACTTTATCAATTAGTCATTGTCATGTACTATAATAAAAACTAGTTATAAAGAACTAGTCAATACGAGTATTAAGTAAATACAGGAACACTAATCAAACATCTAACGAATACGGATGAATAATCCCAAACATGAATATGAAACATCTCATCACAAGAGAAACGAAATTTTCCTCCCATTTCTATTCAATTTCCATATCATTAGCCTAAATAATTCTTAGATTTTTCTGTAAACCTAGGTTTGCGTCTAGTGTTCAATTTGGGGGTTTCTGTTAATTAGGGGTTTTAGTATTGATGTATGAACTATGCCAAGTCGCCAACGTCACTTAAATGTTGTTGGGTAGACATGATTCAATCAAAGATGTCGGTTGCCATGATTTATTTGTGTTGAAGGTGTCGAATTGGTTGGCTTTCAAAATGCAGATTTGGTAATTGCATTTTTCCGTTGGGTCAGCATTGACTAGACAACTATGTAACAAGAAGTAGAGCTTGAAGAAAAATAAGATACATTGAACATAATTTGGGTTGCGTTTATAAATATAATTTTATTTTTGTAAGTTTTGTGGGGCTTAAGTTATCATTTTATATTGAGATATATAAGTCATTTGGTTGTAATACAACGATATTATTTACACTAATGAATGAGGGATTGAGCTAAGCTACACAATGAATTAGTTATAATAATATGGCTTAAATACGTCTTAGGCTAAATAAGTTGGAATAATTAATTTTTATATGGAGTGTATCAAACAATAAGCAGAATGCTAATAAAAAAATGAAAAAAAAATTCATTTGTTATTTTGTCAATGTCATGGATAAAGAACCAGTTAACAATTGATGGCCATGGTGACGTAGTATGTCCAAATCAAACTTTCTCTATTGTTCAACCACTTAAGCCAGTAATTAATGAAACTCAATTGTATGCTTAATTGTGTAGTAAGAAAGATGTAGGAGCAAGTATGGAGAGTCATGAAAGCACAAAACCCAGAAATGTGCTAGTTTGAAGACAACAAAATACTTGTGCAACTATATATGGAGAAAACGAAAAGTAGAAATGTGCACGTAAGTTGATAGCAGGAAAAATACGCTAATAGCTAGTTGGTAATATAGCGAAAAAATTAAGAAATGTATGGCGTGCACGTATATTGCAGATAACTAGCTAAAGAGATATAGCAGAAGAAACCACGCAGATTTCGAGGGTTACAAATATATAAGGAGGCTATACAATCATAATCCTATACTAATGCCTATAAACAAGGGAAATCAGACTAAATAAGTAAGCGAATAACTATATATCAAATTACAATATTGACATAACCAATCTGAGATAACTTCCTTAGCACTCCCCCTCAAGTGGGAGTGTATGTTATTGACACCCAACTTGCTGAGTAATGTCTCAAACTATGTCCAACTCAATGGCTTTGTGAATATGTCAATTACCTTATCAATTGTTCGTATGTAAGCTGCACATATCATCCCTCCTCGGACTTTCTCTGTTACTAGGTGATAATCGATCTCTATATGCTTTGTGCGTTCATGAAATATGGGATTCGAAGCAATATGTAGTGCCGCTTGATTTTCACAAAACGACATGACTGGTTGTGGGTGACTCACCCTCATATCGTTCAAGATATTCTTCAACCATGTAATCTCGCAACATGTAGTGGCCATAGAACGATATTCAACCTCTGCATTGGAGCGAGATACGGTAGTTTGTTTCTTTGTTTTCCAGGAAATCGATGCTTGACCAAGAAGAACATAATAATCTGTTATCGACCTTCTGGTATCCTTGCATCTAGCCCAGTCGGCATCGCAAAATGCCTTCAATTGTAATGTGCCCATAGAAGGCAGGAGGATACCTTGCTTAGGTGCATTTTTGATGTATTTAAGGACCTTATATGCTGCCTTAAGGTGTGGTTGTCGAGGTTTTTCCATGAATTGACTTAACATATGAACCACATAGGCTAGGTCAGGCCTTGTTATGGTTAGGTAGATTAGTCTACCTACAAGCCGTTTGTATGGAGATGCATCACTGAGTAGCTTCTTTTCCGTTTGTGTTAGAGAGATGTTTTGATCAACCAAAAATCGTGAAGGTTTGGCACCTAAGAACCCAACATCATCCAATATGTCTAATGCATATTTCTATTGGCATAGAAAGATCCCATGTTTTGATCGTGCAACCTCTATCCCTAAGAAATATTTGAGCTTACCCAAGTCCTTCAGTTTAAAACGTTTGGAAAGGAACTACTTGGTCTCTTCGATTTCTTGCAAATTATTGCCTGCTAGTATTACATCATCAACATAAACCAAAAAGGCGATAAAATTACCTTGATGACGGCGGACAAACGGTGAGTAGTTAGACCATGACTAGTGAAACCCAGCAGCCTTGAGTGCATTGGATAGTTTAAGAAACCATTGCCACGAAGCTTGTTTTAGACCGTATAGGGATTTGTTTAATTTACATACTCGAGTCTCCCCCTTTCATCCGAATCCAGGAGGCAAGATCATGTAAACTTCCTCGTCTAGGTCACCATGTAAAAAGGCATTGTTGACGTCTAGTTGATGCAAGTGCCATCCTCGCAAGGCTACCACACTAAGAAGCACACAGATAGTGGTCAATTTGGCCATGAGGGCAAAGGTTTCCCTGTAATCAACCCCTTATATCTAGCTATAATCCTTCGCAGCCAGCTGTGTTTTGTACCTCTCTATTGTCCCATCAGGTTTTAGCTTCACTTTATAGACTCATTTGCATCCAATGGGTTGTTTGGAGTGGCAACGACACAAGAAACTAAGTGTGATTTGCCTGAAGAGCTGCAATCTCATGTTGCATGGCAGTATGCCAATGTAGGTCTCAAACAACCTGCTAAAATCTTGTGGGTTCTTTAATGACTGTGAGGTTAGCTATATAGATTTTATGGTGGGGTGAAAGACGAGTATACAATAAGTGGTGAGAGAGTGGATGAGAGGTACCTGATGACGTAACCATGTTTGTTGAAGATGTCGGAGCATGCCTTGACGGGAGAGAGGTCTCGACGTGAAAGTCTTACAAAAATGAGGAAAGCTTTGTGGAACGTGTACCGCGACGGGGTGGTAAAGGTGTAGGTGCAGGCCTGGGCGGGGTGTTAGTGGGTGCTAAGGAAATAAGAGCAGTAGGTGGTGTTTCTGGAGAAGGCAAGATCTTGTTCGGTATTTAAGACGGTTATAAAGGTGGCTGCGATATTTCTGGTGTTTGTGGGGTGGCATGGGATTCAAAAGATAAGTTGTCAGATGTGATGACTTGAGGAATGGTGGGAGGGAAAGAGTCAGACGGTGCGTTGAGGGGGTGCGAAAGGTGCAGTCACACAGGGCCCCAAATTTGAAGGGGTCCCAAAACATTTTGTCACCTAATATTTATATTTAATAATATTCTATATTTAAAATTGCTATTGTTATGAAATAATGTTCTATATTCAAAAATTGATTTTGTTAGCACTTTAAAATCTCATCTTACACTTCTTATAAGCGTAATTTTTTTTCTTCTAAATACAAAAAATTATAGTACAATAAGATATTTCGAGTGCCAATAATACACCATAAAGACGGTATTTTTTTCAATATTATTATATAATAATGTTACATATTCAAGTGAAACTTTAAAGTTAGAGTTTTTGAAGTT